TAGCAAATGTGGAGCTAAGGTTCTCGCTAGATGGCTGCATCTGGCCGCAGCAGAGTTCTCTGGCTAGCTCAGAGGAAGAGCCAAAATGTTAAGGAGCCCTTCTTGCATTACAGTCTCAGGCTGAATCTAGTTCCCTCAAGAGTCTGTGTTTAACCCAAGGGTATGAAGTTCACCTCGAGAATAGAACTTTGTTTACCAAAGAATAGAATTCTGATGGATTTTGGCTTCAGGTGTTCCCTTGAGAGCTCATTTAACTATTTCTTACTGAATTCAATTTTATCTGGTAGCAGAACCCACTCAGTACAGACGTGGGTGATCCTGTAACTAGAGGCAAAGGTTAAGGGTTAACTGTAACCTCAGGTGGGCTTGTGGTCCACCAGAACTGAAGACTAGAGAATACCAAAGGATTTAGAGTGGGAATGTACAAGTTGCTATTTTTCTATACTTTCTACTTTTCTGTACTTCCCTTAGTATGTTAAAGATGTATGTGACTTAGAAATCCAATCTGGTAGCACCCTGACAAGAAATGATAGAACAATAGGTTAGGAATAGGAATCTGTACATTCCCAGAACTGGTAGGGAATGCAGTGAATCTCCAAAGCAAAATTCCACTAGGACACAGTATTATGATGTCTCTCTGTTAGGAAATGCTAATGTGTTTTCCTTAATGAATTAAAACTCCAAACTTCTAGAGTTTGCACAGAAACGAAACTCTTCTGTGGGCTTGGGTAACTAGACTCAATATGGGCAAAAGATTCTTGGCTTGCTTCTTCATGTAAAGCTGACTCAGGTCAAGAACATTTTAAATAGACTTTTCTGGGGACTAGACGCTTGAAGAATGAAATGCCGTAGGGCCAGGTCATTTGCAGCTGGAATGTGTACTGCTGTGGCCTCAGTGCCTCTGCTGTGGTGCCCTAAGAGGAAGAGCGAGTGCCAGCCTGTGTTCTTGAAGTCTGCCCCTGGGTGGGCCTGCCTCCTCCTAGATGAACCTTCTTAACAGCCACAGCTAGGGACACTTTTCCAGACAATCAGCGTTCTCGGGGTCCAAACCAAGATGTTTTGTATCCAGTGATCTCTACTCTTCGAATTTCTGATTAATGCCGAGCGCTGCATTAAACACTTTAAATTCTTACCTCATTTAAATTTTTTTTTTCAACATTTATTTATTTTTGGGACAGAGAGAGACAGAGCATGAATGGGCGAGGGGCAGAGAGAGAGGGAGACACAGAATCGGAAACAGGCTCCAGGCTCTGAGCCATCAGCCCAGAGCCTGACGCGGGGCTCGAACTCACGGACCGCGAGATTGTGACCTGGCTGAAGTCGGACGCTCAACCGACTGCGCCACCCAGGCGCCCCAATTCTTACCTCATTTAAATATCTTATAAGGTGTGTGTTACAGACCACATTTTATAGAGAAGAAAACTGAAGTTCAAAAGGTTTAAGGCGTTTTGTTTTTTGGTTTTTGGTTTTTGGTTTTTTGCCCAAAGTGACAGAACTAATTAAGTGACGCGGCTGGGTGACAACTGTAGTCCTGTTAGACTCGAAAGCACACTCTTCAAAACTCCATAGTGCCTTTCAATTTTAGAGTGCTCTCCTTGGAGGCTTTAGGTTTCATTTCATTAAAGAAGAAAGAATCTCTTTTCACCCACAATATTATAGCTTCTGGAAACTTCTCCCTCGAAACATCCTGTTGTGAACTGTGTTCCGGGATCCTGCCCCCGTCGGGGACGAGGAGACAACTAACCCGGGGAAGGGAGGAGCACATTAGAAACAGACGGTTACATGAGGGCTCACATGGACAGCATTCATCCCCCTCAGAAATGGCCAATCTGTTGCATATGTGCCTTTCTCAGAGCTGTTTAAGTTTTAATTATCTTCCAACTGTCTGAGCTGCTGTTGAGGATCTCTGAGAGAACAAAGGCCGGCTGCGAGATTTTTCAGCAGTGCTCCTCTCTGCACACTGATGAAGTCACTAGCTGCCACTGCCCTTATTATCAGGTTAAATCAGAGTCTGACTGTGCTTTGGAGAGATGCCGAAAGGAGAAAAAATTAATCTTAAGCTCTGCCCCTTATTCAAAATCTTTTGTGGCAGAGAAAATGTGATATCCACTCCTGTTTAGGTGTTATGACCCAGAAGCAAGTCTGGCTTTGTTTTTCAAAAAAAAAAAAAAAAAAAGAAAAAGAAAAAGAAAGAGAGACTGGACCCTCTCCTATCCCCATCCCTTGGACTTTCAATAGTGCAGGTAATAACTTCTCTTCTGCCTCAGGGATGCTCCATTGTGAGCACCATGAAAGAAACATGCTTGTCATCAGAGATGGTACCTGTGCTGGTCCCTCTCCCTCTAGGCACTGCTCATGGGTCCAGGCCTCTGAGTTCTCAGTGTAGAGCTCCAGGTACCCCTGCCAGTCACTGAAGTTGGGGGATTAGTGGAAGCCTGTTTCCCACCTTCTAGCACAGACCTTTAGTGAAGAACAGAGTCCTGTGCTAAACAACACCCTGCTGAGAAAGAGGAGTGTGGTGTTTTTCTTGTGACTTGGTTACCGTTTTTTTTTTTTTTTTAATGTATTTGAATAAGGACTTCATGCCATTTTTGTGAATTATGCTATAATTTTGTGGAGACTTTGAAAGTATTGTAGAACCAGAATAATTAAACTTGTTATGAGCATTACGTGTAACAGGCTAATCAAGAAGTGTGATGTACAGTGGCGAATTGCTAATTTGACCTGAGGATTATGCGGCAGAGATAACATTATCTTCATTTATATGGAACTTTCTATCTGGAGGCATCTCTCAGTGCTCTTCGAACCATATACATTATCTTGTTTGTTATCATAAGCACCATCATTAAAGCTGTAAAATGTATTCCAGGACAGTCTTTTGTTTGCAGTGTCTTACAATTGGAAGATGAGGGAGGGAGGGAGAGGTTGTATATTTTCTCTTATTTTTGGTATTTGCACCAGGGTTAAGTTTATCTAAAGTTGGAGAACATGGTACCATGTAATGTTTTAAAAAGAAGGGGGGGGGGGTACATTACTGCATTCCCTTAGGTCAGCGTGGAGTCTTAACCTTAAGAACTGCCAACGAGAAAGGCTCTGATCTATCTGTCATTTCCTGGCTCCTTTACCTTGTACAGTGTTAGGAGAGCTGCCTCTCCTTTGGTGGAGACTCAACCTAGGGAACACGAAAGTGATCTGATCAAATTCCCCAAACCACATTCCCTCCATTCCCTCCAAGGTTGCAGACAGCAGCACTCAGGCTGTCACGACCATGAGCACCTGAAAGTGCTATGCTGTTTGAGTTCTTGCAGTTTTAAGGAAATGGACAAAATTAGATCCAGGCCACTGTTCCAAGCTTAACACACCCCTTCCCTTCCAGAAAGTCCGTAGAGACCTGTCACCACCAGCAGTAGAGAACAGCACAATTCCTGTTCTACACAGACCACTTAGAACTTATTTTACACGAACCTCACCTACCCACCCAAACCCAGTAACATCAGTACCTTCTATCTGCCTTGAGGGCTCGAGGGAACAGATCGGGGCCAGCCTCCTGCTTAGCCAGAGGGCTCTGATGAGTGCAGCAGTTGTGGTGACTCTCCACACAGGAAAGATGGTGTCTCCCTGCAGTGGGCATGCCCGGGAGATAGCATTCATATGGGTTATGAAGATGAGTGGCCAGCTCATGTCAAGGAGCAGATGGCTAAATGAGGTGTACTGGGAATGCTGTGAGATTCATGCTTGAAGGAACAGGAGGGAAGATAGCTTATGAGATAAAACCCCAAATACAGTCTCCTTAATGTGAATATTTTAAATTGGCATTTACATTATACAGTTAACTTGGAGTGATGAGAAATGTAAGGGAATTACCGAATTAGTGAACAGCGATTAACTCAGAAGTAAAATTATATCATCTAAGTCGAAGGTTGTTTTACACAGCAGAGGAAGGATATTACTAAAACCTTGCCCGGTCTGTCATCGCCTAATTGAAATGTGTTCATTTAATATGCCCCATCCTTCAGAGTGCATAGCTCATAATTTGGGAGAGTGCTATCACTTAATCTAGTTATTTTTCCTGGTTCTTCCTTTGAATCCCGGTAAGACAGTGTATGGCACATTCCCCAGGGATTTGTGTGACACTCAGAAGAATGAGTTTGTCTGTTCATTAACCTGTGAACTGGCGGGTCCCTTTGGAGAGTGAAAGGAACAAGTCACTCCAAGGTTAATGCTTGTTTGTCAGAGGTGAAGCCTCCAGGGAGACGCAGAGGGTGAGCAGGCCGGGATGCTCAAGGACTGCCCCATGAAACTCTGCACTGTGTCCGGATGCCAGATCCATGTGGCCAGGAGGGAGATTGCCGAGCAGGCTGGGTCACCTCTGCGGATCACTTCCTCTGGTCAGGAGAAGGCTCCCCAGCAGTCAAGTGGGGTGGGGTGGGGGCTGGCGTAAGTATATAGGGTTAACTTTCTACAAGGATCTAGGAGCAGTGTTGAAATATAAGAAACTGTGAACAGTTTCGGTGGATCTGTCTTTTACACAAGAAGGCAATATTGATTTCATGCATTTGCCTCCAATGGCTGAAATCTTTCCTTGAGTTGGAAAACATTTGATTTTGCGAGTGTTTGTGCACCTGTGCACAGGCACATTCCTAACCACAAGACGAAGGTAGAAGCGGTTTGTTATTCTCCAGTGTAAATGCCTCATGGACATGCAATTATACTGACATTCAGGGGTTGAGCTTGAACAGCACCTGGTCTGAATTTCTAGGTAAATCAAATCTAAGTTCTGCTTAGTTCTCTGGAAAGTGGTATGTCCCTAGTTTTGCCGTAATTCTTCTAGGCTCAGTTGGAGCTAGCCCTAAGGAGCAGGTAGAGGGTCTGAAGTCAAGTTCAAAGTCTGCTTCAGTCCTAGCACACTGTATGCGTACAAAATGTACTTTATTCTGTTGTCTCTGGATTGGTTGTGATAGAAGCTTGTTTTCTTCAACAGATTTTCTTTTTACCCCCAGGTATATTCGAATAGTTGGGACTCACAACACAGTGAACAAGATTTTTCACATTGTGGCTTTTGAATGTATGTTTACAAACAAAACCTTCACTCTTGAGAAGGGGCTGATAGGTAAGTATCACAATTACATTTTTGTATATATGCTTAGATATTTTATCTTCAAATATTTTGCTATCTCATTAACTCATCTTAACCCACCTCTTAATCAGCTTTTGACTAAAAATTGGTTGATTCGAATGCCTTATGGCTGAGTAACATAGAAGAAGTCTTATATTTTTAGAAGTAGTCAAAATAATAATAACCTTAAAAAATATAAATATTGCACTAGGAGTTAAGAATTGATAATGTTCTAGTGATGCATTCAGACTTGCTATGTGAGGAATGCTTATGATAGTCAGGCAAAGCCTTTTACACCAAAGGCTTTTCTATTTTTAATGGTAGGTAGGATCACGGAGGAAGTCTGTAGAATATTGATCCAACGCTCATGCTTTCCAAGGCTATGGAAGCATTTTGGCCTTTAATTGGATATGAATGCTGTGCTCACTGTGAGAGTATCTTCTTTTCATGGACACATCAGTCCATGTTTGCACTGTTTAGCCAAGCTCACGTCCAGAAAATGCCTGCCTGTAATTTAAATAAGACCGGAGTAACTGAATTGTCATTGTGAAAGTCGGGTTATCTTGTGGGAAATACTGTCTGACTGATCTTTCAGAAGAGTATTTTCAGTTGCTATTTGGTTGTGTTCTGTTGTGTTTTGTTTTTGTTTTAGATAATACTTAGCGTGGCATTGTTTACAGCCCATCCCAGGTCTTGGCACCCTAGATAGCGCGAGCCATGCCCCCGGCTTTTTATACACGTGCTGCAGAGATCCTAGTTTGACTGACTAGTGCCTCAGATCTGTGTCTTTACTGCAGCTTCTTTGGAAAGGGACTCTGTACGTTCAGGTGCCCTTGCCTTGCTATTTCTAAAATAGAATTCTGTGCCTTTATAAAGGGATCCACGTCTTCTCTCCTTCTGAGGTCCCCTCCATCTGGGACGTAACATACGGACACACGTCCTGAAAACATGGTGATGACCAGAACAGGAAAGATGAGTGTAACTTGTAAATGTTTCCTAACTCTTGGGAAGGTCCTAAGTCTAAATTTCCTTAATACCTGCTGTGTCCTAAATGTAATCCTTTACTTAGGGAAGTTTGGAAGACTAATATTAATAGTGTAGCAGGAGTAGAAATTATTCCAATGTGTAGAGAACATTTAGGGCTCAACTAAGATAAATAATTTGGTATTACCTTTGTTGTGCATGTAACTTTTAATATTAAATACAAATGTTAATCATTGTGGCGACTTGTAAGTAATTTGAAAGTCAACAATGCTGAAACATTTCCTGGTATTGTTAAGGCTTTTAATTCTGTGGGCTGTATGGAATTGTGGTGATGAATGGTTGCAAGGAGGGCGCATGTTTTCACCTGCTACCCATGTTCTGTTATATGTGGGCCCCACTGTGCATGTGATTGTGTAGTTAGGGGTGTCCTTACCGAGAAGGATCTTAGAAACCCAACCAACCTTCCTAGTCCTGGCGTGCACACCACTTGGCTACCCATCTCGACCCCGTGCACTGCGTTCTTGAACATGCTGCATAGCAGGCACCCTCTACTTCAATCAGTCTCCCCTTCTTATTGGAGGAAGAACAGGTTTGTGGACACGGTAATTATCCAAGAAGCAGGTCTGTGTGGCATGAGAATCCATTACAGGATGAAACTCAGGATCAGTGGTGGTGAGGGATGTTGTTGTTGGTCTGCATTTTTTGTCCAAAGCGAACTAGTCAGCATTATCAGAAGCCATAATGGTCTCAGACATGTCAGGGGATGAAAGAAGATTGCAGAGATGCAGGAAGTGTGTTTGGTTTCTGGTCAAACACTTTTCTTCGAGCACTTTTCTCTGATGCTCATGAGTTTGACTGCAGAGAGCACTGCAATCATCTGCCTGTCACCGTCCCTCAACTGAATGGGAGCAGTGGGGCAGGTTGGCAGGTATGTACGTGCACTTGGTGGTGGATGGCCTGCAGTGGGATCCCATCTGGCCCTCCTCCTGCCATCCTCACAGCTCAAGCCGTCCCCACGCTGGGCAGACAGGGAGGCGGTGTGAGTCGTACAGGAGTGCAGGGGGATTGCATTATCCTTGTCTGACATGGCAGCGCCGCTTAGTTTAAAGGGGCGTTTGAAATAGCAATGGCCAACTTTCCACATTGATGATCTCAGGTGCATTTTGGCTGCACGCAGGCCTCAGCCAGCCGCCCGTCAGGGGCCTCCAAGAAGGGAGTGGTTCTCCAATGGGGGCACAGTGTACGTCAGAATCATCGTGAGTCACTTCTAGATGGAGCTGCCTGCCATTTACTCCTTCCTGTGCCCTGTGAAGTACACACTTCTTCCTTGAGAACCACTGCTACGCTCCCGGCTTTCAGGGAGGAAAAAAGTAAAAAGTAACATAATATCGTCATGAATGACTAGTAGGGTATCAGACCCTCCTTTTACGGTTTAAGATTCAGAACCTCTCTCTTTCACAGCTCCTGATCTTTGTTTCATAGTTTCCGCTACTCCCATTGGGGCAGTACTCTCCTTGTAGGCCTCAAGATTACTTTAAACATATTTGTGTTGGTTTTTTCTTTCAATCAGATTTTAGGATCATTTCTTACAACATACCACGATGCCAGGAAAAAGTAAGCTTTGTGTGGTTTTAGTCCTGTTTCCCAGCAGAGAGTTTCTTGCATGTCCATCCCTCACACATCTTCACTTGTGCAGATTTGTGGGGAAATCCATGGGAACAGGCCCTACCTCGACCACACTGACCAGATCTGGTGTCAGCCTCTCCCAGCTCATCGGCTGCTGGCCCCACAGCCCCTTCTCATTTGGTGGCTGCTTCTGGATCGCGCTGGGATGTATCCTTGCCTGCGAGAGTCAGCCTGTGATGACCATCTCCTCTTTGTTAGGAGGTGTTGATAGAACTCTAACCTTCTGACCCGTGAGGCATGGAAGGAATAATTAGAATAGATATGACCGCTATTTTACAAGCATTCAACCTCCCAAAGAAGGTATTTGCTTTGCCTTAGCACTCCACCTTGTGATACACAATGGCATTTGCCAAGTCCTTGTACTTTTTCATAATAATTGCCAAAGCTTCCTTTCATTTAATCTTGCATTTAAATTCACTTACAGACAACCTACTTTTGTCTGTATGCTGCCCACTTCCTGTCTGTCATATTATTTTGACACCAGTCCCAGACATTTTATCATCTTAGACATAAATATTTCAGTATGTTGTCTCTAAAAAGTAAGACCCCCTTTTTTTGTACCCATAATGACGATGTCATTATAATATCCCCAAATTGAACTGTAACTTTTTATTGTATTGTTTTTTAAGTTTACTTATTTATTTATTTTTAATTTTTATTTACTTTTTGAGAGAGAGAGAGAAAGAGAGAGAGAGCACAAGCATGAGTGGAGGAGGGGCAGAGAGAGAGAGAGAGAGACAGAATCCGAAGCAGGCTCCAGGCTCTGAGCTGTCAGCACAGAGCCTGACGCGGGGCTCAAACTCACAGACTGTGAGATCATGACCTGAGCTGAAGTCGGACGCTCAACCGACTGAGCCACCCAGGTGCCCCTATTTATTTATTTATTTTGAGAGAGAGCGTGCACACACAAGCATGCGAGGGAGGGCAGAGAGAGAGAGAGAGAGAGAGAGAGAGAGAGAGAGAGAGAATCCCAAGCAGGCCCCATGCTGTCAGTGCAGAGCCCAACAGGGGGCTCAAACCAACAAATCTTGAGATCATGATCTGAACCAAAATCAAAACTCATGATCTGAACCAAAATCAAAACTCAGACACTCACCCGACTGAGCCACCCAGGTGCTCCAGGATATTTAATACTCATAAAAAGTTACAGTTCAAGAGTGACTCTTGATTTCGGCTCAGGTCATGACCTCACGGTTCATGAGTTTGAGCCCTGTGTCAGGTTCTGCGCTGACAGTGAGGAGCCTACTTGGGATTCTCTCTCTTTGCCTCTTTCTCTCTCTCTCTCTCTCTCTCTCTCTCTCTCTCTCAAAAAAACATTAAAAAAAATATTTCCAGTCAGTGTTCAGATGTCCCTAATTGGATCAAAGTCTAGAGTGAGTTTATGTGCTTTTACAGGTTGTTTAAATCAGAATTCATTTTTTTTTCAACGTTTTTTATTTATTTTTGGGACAGAGAGAGACAAAGCATGAACGGGGGAGGGGCAGAGAGAGAGGGAGACACAGAATCGGAAACAGGCTCCATGCTCCAAGCCATCAGCCCAGAGCCCGACGCGGGGCTCGAACTCACGGACCGTGAGATCATGACCTGGCTGAAGTCGGACGCTCAACCGACTGCGCCACCCAGGCGCCCCTAAATCAGAATTCAGATAAGGTCCATACTATCAATAAACAGTATGACTCTTAAGTCTCTTTAAATCTGTAGGTTTCCTTCCACATTTCTGTCCATCTCTTTCTCTCTTGTTTTTCTCTCTATTAATTTATTTGTTGAAGAAACTAGGTTTTTGTCCTGTAGAGTTTCTAACAGCTAGATTTGGGTGATTAAATCCCCATGGTAACATTGTCATTTTTTTTTTTTTTTTTTTGTGGTATTTTTTGTAACTTAGTAGTTAGATAGAGACTTAATCTGATTCAGGTTCTGGGGGGTTGGTTTTGTTTTGTTTTTTGTAAAAATGCTGTGTAGGTGGTAGTATATATATATGTTTATTAAGAAACACAGAAAATCTTTGATTGTCTCTCTCTTTTGGATGTTCCCCTTCATTCATGATTGTTTCCTGGATTCATTATTTCATAATTTGGAATTGCAAAATGATTATTTTCTTATTGTATCCTTCCTTCTTTATTTAGTGGCTAGGAAGAGAAAAATTTCCTCGACGCTTATTTGATAATTCTGAGATGCAATTTGCCAGGGAAAAGAAGGGTAAATGTCACACCCTTTCTGTGTATTTGCCATTTTCAGGTAGGTGGTTACCTACCATCTTACACATGGGGCCACTGAGAATTGTTGGTGGGGACTGTTGGCAGGGGAAGGGAGAGGAATACACATCA